TAAAACTAAAAAAGCCCTGCTCCAACTTCCAAAAATATTCAGCTTTGATATTAATGAGTGTTTTGGGTTCATTAAGAGCATGGCTGTGGTTCAATAATAAAGTTAATCCTCAAAAATAAAACTTGCCTAATATTTCTGCACTCCCTGTATTGGGAGCTGGTTTTAATGTAACTGAAAATGACCAATTGTTAATGACTATATTATAATCATTAAATATATGTTTACTTTCATAACAAGAAAATGAAATTGAAAGGTGACGCTAGATTATGACTCGTGCAAAATGGAGCCAAAATCCAAAAGATAAACACGATCAAGATCATTTGACAAACGGCTGTACTGAAGGTGTTCATATAACCAGCAGCATTTGTCTCTGTTGAGGTTACTTTTCCAAGTTTCATTTTTTTTAGAGAAAACACTATATTTTACTTTTGTTTCAGAGAAAGAAACAAAGACAAATTTATTTTTCCAGCTATCTGGATCCAAAACACAATCTCAACTTTGAAATTGTGGTTTTTCTTTTTTTTTACTTTGTAGCAAAACAAATATGCATTTATTCAACCGGTTGAAACAGGCATTCTGGTTTCTGAAAATACCTTGAAGCTATTCAGATGTGAGCTTTGTGACTCAAATGTAGTGATAATGTCTGAGAGGCATGAAGTGGGGCTGAGTTAAACCATGAAACTAAAAGAGACTATCTGACTGTGGAAGGTGAAAATAAACAGCATCATCTGTGAAATAAGCAATGTCCTTATCTCACTGTAGGAAATTCCTCACAATTAAGATGTCTGTGTTTGAACTGCGAAAGAATCCCGTAAAAAAAAATGAGGAATGAATCCCTGCAGCTGACCTGCTACAGTAGGCGTGAGGGTAGAAGACTCTCATGCTGTGCGGCAGGCTGAGCCAGGCCTGGGCGCAACCGTCCGAACCGGTACCATAGCGGTTTAGGGCCCGAAGCATCAGCCGCTCCCTGGCCTTGGACAACGGCATCAAGGCCAAAGACTCCTTGGCGTTATCTGGTAGATAGAGGCAGGAAAGACAAGGAGGAAACGAGAACAAAGGGTGAAAAAGAAAACAACACAATAAGAAGAAAAAAGATAATTTGCAGTTTTAATATAGCAAATATAAATTAGTTGCTCTTTAAACTGCAAAACATGAAGGGGTTTTCTACAAAATATGATGAATTTCTACGAAAAAACAAGAAGAGGAACTGTACACAAGTGAAGTGCACAAAAACCCCAAATGAAACTCACAGTTTCTGCAAATTGTGCGGACATTTTTGAGCGTTGCTACTTTTATACATATCTCTGGTCATTTTCAGGAGAACTGAAACTGTAATGGTTAGTCCTTCTATCCAAGTTCCCACCTGTTTGGAGGAAGTGTCTCTTAGCGTGGCTCTGAGGATCATCGCCTTCCTCTGGAGTGAAGAAGAGACGCACAGCGCTCACCTGACACACACAACGATGTACATCGACACAGCATCAGACAGTTTTACTGGGAGCCGCCTGAATTTCACAATAAAAGCGTTGTTATCATCTAGTTCTGCACGCTTTAAATGTTGCACTCACCATGTCCTCTTTCAGTAGAGCCAATCCTACTCGATCAGACTGAGCGCTCTGTCCACTCCCAAACCTCTGTGGTCCGTAGTAGTTGACAAAACCTCTGGTCTGCAACGAAAAACAACCAAAATGAACGTTGCTGCAGATATAAAAGACTGCACTGCTATTTAAGTATGAAGCTGGTAATATTTTATATTTTTCTGACTGTCAACACCAAATCTTTTGTTCCCACTGAAAACAGGCTCTTTAAAAAATGCATCAAAAACATTTAACTCAACTTAAACAGCTGAATCTGCTAAAAACAACTAATGAAACCATTTGTTGGAGACCATCTTCAGCTGTAGATTAATCAAGATTTGATGCTCTAGTTTGCATTGACAGCAACAGGAAGTGACCCCATCTTTATCAAAATGCAGGACTCAGTGCTCTGCTGGTGTATTGAGGAAACACTTGTTAGTACTTAATGGTGATTTTGAGGAAAGTTCAGTGTATCATCAGACTTAAAATAATCTCATGAAGACAATGCACTATAATATAATGACAAAGTGTAAATGGTTCCTTGTCCTTCCAGACAGTGTTTGTCTTCATAGCTTTAAACTGAACACAATACATTCTAGTGTACAACTTCTTCACTTGTAGGCATACGTTCTGTTGCAAACTAAGAAGACAAGCTAAATGGTACCTTGACATTCTCCACTGCTTCCTTCACCAGCGCTGCCAGGCGAGTGCGTGCGTCGGCGCCAGAGGAGAGCGCGTCACCGGCTCCATGTGCCCTCAGGTCACGGACCACCAGGTCAAAGTGGTTCCCCTGCAGCCGACCGAGCCTCAGAGGCTCGCCGACAGAACGGACCTGAGACACGCGCATCCCTCTCCTCTCGAACTCTGCTGCCTTTTCTTGCAACCTACATGAGTAACATAAGTAAGCAGCTGTCTTAGAAAGAACTATAAGATCTTAAACAGGAAATACTGACACCCGAACCAATCAAATCCATAAAGAGAAGCATAGCACTACCGTTGAGGTGCGACCTTCTTGACCACCATGGACTGGTAGGTGATGGCTCTCTTATCCTTGATCCCAGCATAGGTAAAATCTGACGGCAGGATCCCGAGAGCTGCTGCCATGTAGCTGATGGCCTCCAGAGTCTCCAGGTTCTCTTTACGCAGAGTGAACGCTGTAACACACACAGAAACAGCGTTTTTTTTAAATTTCTACAAAACATTAAAAACCAAATTCTGTTGCTTAAGAGAAATCTGAATGGAAATGTTCATTATTTTTACTACATTTTAAACTCAAAACACTGTCCTGTTACCTTATTTTATTATCAAATATCCTTACTTTCATTCCACATAACCTTATTTGTTAAAAGATAACAGATGGTGTGTGATTTTAATGATGCACTGGCAGAAAATGTACTGTCATGTTGGTGCTTTCTTGTGTTTTTTTCAAGATGTTTCTGCAGTTTTCCTGTCTATGACCTTCAGACTTGGCAAATACACATAGAGAAAAACAAACTACAAAATGAAAAAAAGGGAAAACTAGAATATTTTGTGACATAATTATTGTGTCACGACAGCTGAAGCAATTATTATATAGTAATTTTGATGGTTAATTAATTGTTAAAGTCCTGCTATTGAACAAGAATGGTAAAGTTTCAGTGGTTCCAGCATCATAAATGTGATTTTCTGTTTTTACTTGGTGCTCTATGAGAGTAATTTGAATTTCTTTGGGTGTTCAGCTGTACATTGGACAAATTATAATGAATCTAATGTCAGTTTGTCCTCTAGGAACACTTTTTCTCTATTTTCTGACATTTTATGTTTCAATTAAGAAAATAGAGAGGAAGGTAGACGGTTGCAATCCTACATCTTACCAGTATAAACTTCTTCCTCCTTACGTTCCTCTGAGCTTCTCTTCTTTGGCCTCCCTCGCTCTCTCAGCCTGACAGAGATCGATGTCCTCCCCTGATCGTTGAAGCTTTTTGTCTCCACCAGTTTCCCAAACCTCCTGTTCAGGAAATGGTGTACCGCCGTCCTGTGCTCCTTATTGTCATCAGGTCCAAACGTATAGGACGAGCCTCGCACTTTAGCATCTATGAACCTGAAGAAGTCCTCCGCTTCGTCCTCTTTCACCAGCTGGGTGAGCTCCCTGTAGTCCGGGTCCTCCCTCACCCTGATCTCAGGCTGGATGGTGACGGTCATGAGGAAGGGGAATCGGTGTCTGACGGCCCGGTGGACGTTGGCTCTCTGGTGTTTGTCGGCAAAGGACCCCAGAGAAAGCTCCAGCTCAGTGGGCTTTTTGTCTCTGAGAGTCAACACAAAGTGCTCGAGCTCTTCGCTGACTGACGGACCCAAGATCACACCTAAATCAAAACTCCCAAGACTGGGCAGGGGGACGTCGACCCCCCACTCCAACGAAACATCAGCGTCCTGCGAGACTGAGGGATGACTGTTCTCCTTACAGTCTGCACCGGTTTTGCTGTTTCTGTCTGAGGAGGCGCAGCCTGGTTTCTGCGTGGCTGCTGCTGTTCTAACGTAATGTCCGTCAATGTCTATCTCAGTCACCACAAAGTCTTCGATAAAGTTCTTGATGCTTCCGAGAAAACCTTCATGGTTGGAAATGAAGCACGCAGGGACGTTCACAACCTCACTGCCCTGCTTCATGGTCACTTGTTTTCACTTAGGGCCGTTTTTACTTATTCCTGGTGATGAAAAGGAATGAAATATTAGCAAAATGTGCAATGATTGAAATGTTGCTGAAGGTAAAATGAGTCATATAATAATTAATAGTCAAGTAAAATAGTAATAGTATAATAATAAATGCAACTTTGAAAATTGACAAATCTGTTTTTATCAGGAATAATTTATCATCCATTAAGATTCTTTAGTGAATCTGAATATTATCGTCCGTACAAATGTGTTTTTAAACGACCTTGTGTTCATTTTCCACATCTTGGTTACTTCTATGAACGGAATGTAAGCTAACACACGAAAGACACAAACTAGCACCAGATTGCAAACCTATTATAGTCGGTACACACCTTTAAAGTAACGCTAGCAATCCTAAGTGAGTGACTGGTGCTTTATATTTCCGTTATTCATGCAAATTAGTCTTTCAATTCAGTACAATCTCTATAACCTGCACAAAAACCTACCTCGACATTGGTGACACAGAGCTGCGGCTGCTATAACGAAGGAAACAAAGAGCATTGCTGGCTGTAAATGAGAATATGCACGTATTGTGAGTTTATAACAATAATGTAACTGTTTGTTTACGAGACGAACCTGCATGCGGTATGTAAACGAGTCGCTTGTAAACACAACCACGCTGAAAGGATGCTGCTTCCGCGTCACGTGGCCGTCATGTGACTTTTCTTAAAGGGACAGCGACGCAGCAGCGGCCAGGCAGCGGTGCATGAATGCGTAAACTAGAGGTTAAACATCAAAAAAATTAAAATGAATATAGCGTTGTATGTTAGATATGGAGTTGTGGATGTGTCTTGGTCTTTGGTATTGAAACTCAAAGAGAGAAATCAATGTACAGCAGCAGCACTAGCATTAAACCCATGTAAACAAATGAGAAACCTCAGTCACCTTTGACTCTGACCTCAGTTGTGAGCCTCACATGAAAAACATACCAAAGAATTCTTTTTTAACATTTAAGGAAATGGGTTTACACAAACTAAAAATAGCCTCCCGCTGCCACTATGCCATCAGTGACTTTTAAACAAAACTCAGACTTCAGGCTCAGATTCAGAGTTTGTTAAACCAGCTTTCCATAACAAACCACTGGACTCAATATACATTATAAATACAAGAAATATACATACACTTTGTTGGTTTGATTAATGTTTTCCTTTAGTTTGGATATGTTTAAGATCAAACAATTTTTTTTTATTATTGTAAAGAGTCCTTGATGATGATGATTTCTTTAAAAATAAACAAAATAAAATGTCGCAAGGAAAGATCTTTTAAAAATGTGCATTTATACTGTTTAAACAATAGGATTCTATGATCGAAGTAAGCAATGTGCCAAAAGTCACAGCTGATTCTTGGTCTTGGAAACACAACTGAGAACACAGTCACACCACAAGCATGATTTAGCTGCAAAATACTGAGCTTTAAATGAAATTTAAAAGGAAAATTTACACATCTACAAATCTATTGCCAAGAAATTTTAATATATGATGTGATTGTAAATGACTGAACAGCTACCTTATGGACTTTGTTGGGCCTTTATAAGAATGATGCATTTCTCTCTTTTATTCTGTTTTTGTCACAAATAGCATGCGCTGTAGTGATTGTTTTAATTATAATACGTGCTAGAACATACCAGCAACAAACAACATCCCATTCATTACTCATTATTGCTTCACAGTTAAATGACATTTATTCCACAGGACTGGTATGTCCGGCGGGTGCGTGGTTTACTGGTATAAAGCCTGGGGAGGCTTTGTGGTCACAGTGAGAGGTTGTTTCTATTCCCCAGCACTCCCACTTCCCAGAAATATGCACAAGTATACATACTTAAAGTAAGGAAATTCAAGCCAGTAAATTGCCTTTGCATTAACATTTGATACCCACTTTGACACACACACACTCTCTCTCTTCCCTCTTGAATCATTAATGTTTGCTATGAACTGTGCACCAAAAAAAAGAAACAGATCCACATTTCCTGGCTTGTTGTTTGACAAGGCTGTTCTTCCTCAAGAGTGCTGACGAAAGGGAGGACTCGGGCCATTTTAGGGCAGATTCGAGGAATGCACTTTCGCTGATCATAACAAAGTGGATTAGACAATGTTGTTTTAGCTCTTGGGACTCACTGGAAGCCATTAGGTCATCTACGACATTTCAACTTTAGCTTGACTGGAGTGAAAAAAGAAAAAGAGCACTTTCTCCAGAGTGAAATTCCCTTTTCCTGACTGCTAAACTCGAGGCCTCATTTCAACACAGTAGATCCAGATTAGTTACATAACTTCCTGCAAATCTTGGAACCACTTGCTCCAGATTGCACAATGATCATATTTACAGTGAGATGTTTCCAAAAACCTGTGCTGCTGTATTTTCCCTGAGAAAGGGGGGAAGAGGGCTCGCATCGGGAAGAGAACGCCTTCACAAAGTTTTGCGTTTTTTCTTTTGAATCCCGTAAGACCACACTTCAGTGGTAGTGACGCGGTGTTTCAGAGCGAGCATCAGGAGAGCTAATGTTTTCCTCTCAGGAAGCAAAGAATTCAAAAACAACGGAAGCGTATCTGCGTGTCTTTCTCGGGGAGAGCATTTGTAAGCGAGACACTCAGTTTTTTAGGGGATTTTGTGCATGAATAAGTGGTTACAGAGCTTTAGAAGAAGACAAACGAGAAACAAAAAACATGCATAAACTAAAAAAATATAGAACTATACATTTAACACAAACAAGCGCAGGCATTCCACGGTTGTTTTGCACAACAGGAGAAGCAACAAAAAAAGTCTTTGGGATTGTTTTTGTGTCTTTCCGCCTACCAACATCCTCAGAATGCCTTCATGTCAAACAGATGTGCGAGTGTGTGCCAGAGATCCTGTGGATGTGCACCGGTGAAGCCGACCGAAGGAGGTCGAGGGACACTAAGAAAGCTTTACGCATGTGTGTTTGTGCGTGTATGGATGTTTGCATTAGAGTGTGATGTGTGTGTATGTGTGTGTGGCCATCGTGTTCTCCAGATGTTCCTGTGCTCCGTGAGGAAGTGTTCCACTCTGGATCTGCGTTAACAATCGAGCCTTTTTTTTGTTGGAGGAACTCCAAGGACTAATAATATTGCAGCTATGTGCGTTAGGTGCGTGGGTGAGTGAGTTGCGGCAGACAGACAGACGTATGGTGTGTGTTCACATGTGTCTGTGGGATTCATATGAAAGGTCGTGTGATGGAGATTCTATGTATTTGTCCTTCTGAGACAACAGCAGACAAAAAGTGCTTTATGGGACTTTTTTTTTATATAGACTGAGCCGAGCTATCATGGAGGCATGAACACACAGAAACATGAGTACTTCTGGTCTCTTTTTGTTCCTCCACTGGTAACATTACCAGATTTGGTAGACCTTATTCTCTCCTTTTTACAGTTGGTAGCCTCCGGGTTCACCGGCCCCTAACTGATATACACAATGAGCAACACATACAGGAAAAAAAATAATCTGACAAATTGAGCTTTGTGTGTTCAGCACTGCAAATTTTAGACACATTTTGGCTTTTTTTACTTTCTAAAAACCCTCAAACACTCCGACAATGACACACTGACCACATGTGCATCTGCTATAAACTCAAATTTTTAGTTTCCCACTTAAAACATAATTCATCAATTCATTCTTTTGGACCATTATTTTGCTCCCTTGCTGGCAAAGTCACGTTTGACATCACAGTGTGGATTCGTCAGTAGCACGACTTTCCTCTACAGATAATGATGAATCCATTACAATGTGGTCATAACCACAGTAATGTGGTCACATGTGTTACTGAGTCTTTCAGTTATGGCTTAAATGAGGTGTTGACAGCTGACCGCTTGGTTTCCTTTCTTTCGAATCTTGTATTACCAAAAATACAAACAACATTTAGAATATGAAAACTGGAACACAGCAGTAATAAAGAAATTAATCAAAAAGTACTAAAACAAAGAGGTTACATAAAAGAACTGTGCATTACGCAAGCCAATAAAAAGCAAAAAGGGAAGTACATAATAAAATACAAGCAAACAAAGCAAGATTTAGAAATGGAAAAACTAAATCCTTTCTATCAGTAATAGTTATTGGGATTTCTCTTTGAAAACTGTCACATTTGCAGAAAACAATGTTTAAAGAGTGTTTTGACTACATTCAGTTTCCATCCGTTGACATTCTTACTCTCATAGAAAGCAAAAATTGTACGTCCGGTCATGGTCAGGAAGTATTGATCAAGTTGGAATACACAGATTTGTTTTTCTTACAATTACAAAGAAACAGTTTCATTTACGCCGACTACTTCAAGATACATTCCAGTTTAGGAATCCTTGAGAAAGTCCCTCTTTTGACTGGTGAAAAGAGGAGAGGCAGGATAGAACAGATGCTCCAGCTCCTCTGCCTCCTCTGCATACCGCACGCTCTCTTTCTTACAATATTTTCTTTATTTATTGCAAGATGACGCAGTTCAAAGTCAGTTTTTGCAGCGTGATTCCTGACAAGAAAATGATAAATGTTGCACCAGATGGTGAATAGTTGTTATTTTAGGAGTACTGTTTCCCAGGGGCCTGTGTCCAATAATGCAAGTAAACCAAATAAGTCAGGCTTATTTCAGTTAGTCTGACTTGCTGTCAGGTTATGTCACTTTTCTAAAGTAAATTCAACATCATTCAAATTGACTGTCTCTGCTGCTATGCAGAGAAACTAACCTGTTCCAGGGCAAGTTAACTGTCAGACTACTTATCAGGTTAATTGTCAGGCTTAATCCTGAGTTGTCGCTTAACCAGAGTTCCTGCAGCGCTGACAGAACGGAAAAGCCAGGATTTTACCACTGACTTTCTGGTCTGCATCCATATAATTTTACTTATTAACTAATATCAGTCAACACTGAGAAAAAATCAACTTAGATAAATGATAACTTAAATAAATAACACAGTGATACATGATAAGATTTTGAGCTACATACATGTTCAAGTACATATATGATATCAAACATTTAGGCTTATACTACATAAAGTGAGTTTCAATTTAAATTAACAGAATGATTATAATTATAGAATTAGCTACCAATGCAACTGCAAGAAATCAGGCTATACTGAGCAGAAATAGTGGATTTGTTTGATCTGCGCTTACCCCAAAAACAAACACTTAATTATCTTGATTACTTGAACCTGTATTAACTTAGCCTGAGTTTGTAAACTTGAACTGACCTTTATGAAACTGGTTTAACCCTAACTGATTTCTTAGGTTCATTCAAGTCAGGCGTTAGACTTTAATGCCATCATTTCTTGGCACTGTTTACGGAACAAAGTTTGTTTGGCTGCAGGCCTCTTTGCTCATGTGATTTAGAAAGGTTTTTATTTATTTATTTATTTTTTAATCTGTGATGTGTTTACTGCTGACCTTTAGGCTACTGGCAGCGGTTCTCCTGTGATTACACCACCAAGTACACATTTTAATGCCACTGTTAACATGGCTTTTTTTATGTCCTCTTTAAACTTTATCTATTAATCGTCCATTCTAGAACAACAACAAAAAAAAGGCATATGAAAGTTTGGAACAACTCTCGTCAAACTTGTGTATCAGTTTCTTCACAAAATGCCATAAATCATTAATTATTTCCCCAAACTTCTCCAACTCCACCTCCACACAGCCCTCCTTCCAGATGGGGAGGGCCTCTCAGCAGCAGGACACAGGGGGTTTCCTCTCTCTCTCTCTCTCCACCCATCCAGATGTAAAGTCTCTCTTCTGTAAAGTCGGGGTTATCCCTCTCTGTGGCACTTTTAAAGAAAGCTTTAGCCTGTAGTGGGAGATCAGGCGAAGCAAACATGGGGAAAGTGAACGTGTGTTTGAAGCGGAGTTACTTCATCGTGGTCGGCTTGATCGCGGTAAGTGCGTTGTTTTCCTTTCTGCTGCTGCCTCTTAGATGCAAACAGTCGCTGAAAGATTGTGTTTGCGCACGTTGACATTATTATCCATAAAAAAAACAAAGAAAAATAACTACCAGTGCTTCTGTTATTTAAATGTTTGTGTGTGTATCAGCGAACAATCAAGTATTGGGCACTTTTAAAGTAATTTAAAGAGCGCTTATATGGAGATATGCCTGGTGCTGCGCGCACAGAGAGGAGCGTTTTTACGCATCTGTTTACTTCTGCGTTATCTGGTGCAGACAGGTGGTTGCTGATAGTTACGACAGCAAATATGAACAGCCATGAGTGTTTTTCATTAATTTGGATAGATAATATTTGACTGTGGAGTTGTCTTTGAGTGAAAGTGCCAAACGCTGCCTGTAGCTGCTGGAGTCAACCCAGTGCTTAATCTTATGTACAAGACATGCAATGTAAAGTCAGTCGTGCCTGGTGGAGGTCCCATATGGTGAAAATCTTTTTTTTTTATTGTGTTCATAAGCTTGAAAGTGTCAAGTAAAAGCTGTTAAGATATGTAGATGTTTACTTGTGCCATTCCTCAACCCCCCACCCCCAACCAAATAGCTTCCCATCTTTACAAGCCAGTAGGAATTTTACTCAGCTGCTTTGTATCAGCTGAGAAACCAACAGTCATCGAGCTCAAACTTTGTTTAATCATCCTCCGCCTGGTGCCAGGAGAGCCATTGGGAAACAGACGGTGCCTGCAAAGTTTGTTTACTTTCTAGAGATGCTTCTGCTGATTGTAAAAAAGGTCGTAACTATGAGCAAAACACACCAAATGTTCTGCTGTTGGCTGCAGGAGTGAACACAAGAGTCTCCGTGCACTCCCAACGTCTGAGGAGCTAAATATCCAGTAGATTATTTTATTTATTGGTGGAAAGTCCTTAATGTTAGTGTGTTGTGCGGTTAATGTGGCTTTGATCATATGTCCACAGGTCAGAGCTCTGTGACAATTGTAAAGCTGAGGGACTTTCAGAGATTGTGGAAACTTTAAAAGAAATTTTAAACCATTCACTTGCAAGGACCACACCATCAAATTGATGCATGATTGTTTAGTGGATGCAAATAAGCGTTATTTGGTGATGACTAAGTTGAACTGATGCGCTGTGGGGAAATGCTTAGTCAGGGATCAGGAGCAGCTCCTGGGCCAGCAGACACCCAAAGAAAAGGAGAAGACAGGAAGAGGAGGCAGAAGTAAAGGGAGAGTGGCCAGAATATGAGAAGTGAGAACGAACAAGTGGGAAGGGCAGAGTGGTTTGTATAGACGTACGACAGGAAGGGGAGGAGTTGAGATGTGGTCCTGTTCCTGAACCTTAGCGAAAGAGTTTATCTCCATATAAACAAAGTCTGGCTGGGTTCTAATAATCATTAGGGTTACTGTGCTTTCAGGTCACCTGTTGTGTTTCAGTTCAACCTAGACTCAGCTGGGGTTTGCACCTGTTCCAAGGTGATATGGGTACTATCCATGTATATGGTATTTAAAATATACTTGCAATTTCTTTGAGTTTGACCTTAAAATATCACCCAAGGCCAAATCTTACATACAGCCTATATATGGTTATATGTGTCTGTCTTGCACTGCTTTCAAGTTACAGTGTGGTCAAAATGTATGACCTTGATTTTAACCTTGTAATATCATCCAAGGTCAAATGTAACATCACAAACGGAAAGCCCCAACATGGTTGCTTATCTGCACTAAACACCAGAAATCTACCTTTCACCCTTTTGAAAGTATATGGCATTTTTGAAAAAGTGACCTCTGACCTCTAGCTAAGCTGTTTTTGCACTGATTGACCCCAAAATGTAATCATTCCAAGGAGAGGCCATTCCTACTTCTCTTGTGAAATACCAACTCATTAGACCTCAGTACTCCAGCTAGAGACCGTTCACAAACAGACACATAGATGGCACCAATGACTCTATAGTTGCCCTTCGTCAGGGGCAACTATAACATTTTCATTGAAGAATGTGTATGTATTTATTTGTAATATTGTCATTTATTTGTGTTGGAACCACTGAAATGTCCTGATGGGACTCTTGATTTAAGTGGTGGCTGTATGACCTGAACGATCCCATGACTAGTACACTAACTAGTGACCATGGTGGATAGAATTCCTCAATAATTCCAGCGTTGTCACATCTGTTAAGACCAGATGTGACAAAGTGAGGGGTGGATCTGACTGAGAGCGCAGACACCATGCAATGCTCTACAGTAGCAACTTGTCAACCACAAGGTAGCTACGCCCTAAAACATACAGTCTGATCATCCATTTTTCCATTAAACGGGACCATAATTTTCAAAATGAACATCATCCTGCATTGAAGAAGGTATGAAACGAGCAAATTTAGACCATAAACCCTTTAGAAGAATATTTAGTGAGGTAACAAATCAAGTGAGAAGTAGGGTCATTTTAGACTTCTAGAGAATTATGCTTGTTTGTGCCATCAGTGGAGCTGCCCTCTGCTGGTCATTGGAAAGAATGCTGGTTTAAGGCTTCACTTTTTAAACCTGGAGGCCACATCCATCAGTGTATGCGCATGACACGTTCACCTAAACAAGATAAAAACAGACAAAACACTATACAAAAGACAGGCAGAGCCGGTATGTAGCTTTATAGATTTTTTTTGTTGTTCCTTGGTTGCGGGGGGCCACCAGGATTAGTTCCGGTTCGCCTGTTTGCCAGTACATTACTGATTGCACCCCAGCTTTTAGTGTCTGACAATATGTCAGTTGTTCTCGGGGCAAAAATACAGCATTCGATTCTTTGACCAACAGGCTGGCCATTCATCTTGATTAATGTTATTGTTAACGTCGTAGTTGGCTGCTGAAGCACTGACGATAGCTGTTCTATTGTCTGTTGGAACAATGGAGATCCCTCTGAGGCTCGACACAAGAAAGTGACAGGCAGGCCAGTTAACCCCTTTTATTGTGCAACCAGCACAACAGGCAGAAGGTTCCATTCCTCTGACCTTTACTTTATTGATGCTAACATGACATCAACAGGTTTTGTGAGTGGTGCTAACATTTGCTTGCTGTTAATTAAACAACGTTAACTAAACTAGCTGCTGACAAGACAGAAGCAAGCAGGTGAGAACAGGAACAGATGAGCTCCATGTGGTGCCCCATGGGTAATGTAGTTTATTTTAGGCTACCCAGAGAACCTGATGTGGAGAGGCCAGAAAAGAGTCCATGCAGCTTGTTGGATGGGCCTGTGTGCAAGAAAACCTAAGAGTAAAATCTAGAAGTGCTAAAACTGTGTACTGGTGAGTGCAGGCCCTTTTTGAACAAAGAGTTTTTTCAAAAATATTATAAGAGGAACTCCTTTCGATCACTTTTGAAATTTACCACCATGGTAAACTCTCCAGTTTGTAATAATAAAATAGGTAAATAATATCGCTTCAGCAGGAAAAAAAAACCCTTGGAACAATAAATAAAGACTCCTGCTGATAACTTGTAATACTATAATATGATTGTGGTATCCTGCGCCCCGTCGGAGGTGGTTTCCTAAAGCCTAAAGGTGATGCCTTAATTTATTTATTTTTAATAAAACAAATGACGGAAATCCTGATGGAGAGAGAGTGCAAAAGGCCAGAGAGGGGAAACTGCTGACAAAAACAACCTTGTGTTATGCTAGCAGTCATACTGCTCCATATAGATGTTGAAATGTCACACAAAGATGTTTGTCTAATGTATCTGTGATAACATGACCCAAACGTGTATTTTGGCATCCTCATTGTCGGCACACTTCTTGGAAGAAATACAGAGTTACTATGTGCAATCAAGGTCATGCTGGTACGTCTTCGAGATCAAATCAGTCATGTGTGGGTGGGAATTAGTCCTCCCTTCCCGTCCTCTTCATTCTCACTGTATTTACAGTAGATGGGAGCTGGATTGTGCACCATGTGGTTCAGCTTGTTTAGGCAGTTTGCCCCTCCAGATATCTTCTGTCTGTTTTAACTGTCACTGGTCTTTTACAAGTCTGACGGTTGCCTCCCTGTGATTTACTAGTCATTTGACTTTCTGCACAGATTTGTGACCATCATGCTCTTCTTCATGGTTTGGCTGAACGCTCCACAACAGAACCAGACTCTGTATAAGGCTCAATACGATTAACACACAGGCCTCGAACAGCTGATGTGAAGGGTTGAACAGAACAAATGGAGTATACAGTCAGCACAAGTATTCAGCTGTTAGATTACCAGTGCTATGTATAGCTTAATAAGCTTATTTCTCAACAAGTTACAGCAGTGGTGCGTGTGATGTGAGTGATGGACCCAAGCGACGTTGCATGTGTTGAGTTCCTGGTAGTTTCTCACAAGCTTCTGATAAGTATGTTTGGGAATTGTAGCCCATTTCTAAAGTGCAAAATGTTCTGGTTCATTCATATTCTTAGGTTTCCAAGATGGAACAGCTTTCTTTAAATCCCACCAAAGGATTTCGATGGGATTCAAATGCGATGACTGAAATAGCCACTGGAGCACATTCCAGGAAACCTGGAAAGTTCAGCGAAACGGTTCATGCACCGAGGGCATCACATACGTCTTTAAAATGGCCTGTGATTTCAAAGAACCCCAGATCCCTGTCACATGGTCATGCTTGCCAGTTTCTGCAACGGCAAAACATCTCCGCAACATAAAAGACAAGATTCCAGTTCCCAGGCTCTCAGGCACATCCAAACGAGACCTTCCTTTATCTTCGTCGTCACGCTTTGTATGTGACACAGTGGGAAGGGAGGACCCAGCAGACCGGCAGGAACAGTTCTGTGGCTTTCTTTTAAGAACTAATAAGAGCTTACAGGAAGGCAAGCAGGCACAGGTAGAGGAAAACTGGTTACAAGATAGCAACAACCTTAATGATGTGACAGTAGGCCAAAAGATGGGGAAAGGTGCCGTGTGTTATACTGGGAGCTGATGGGGGAAGAGACCTTTTGACTTGTCACAGTAGGGAAAGCACTGGTCGAATTAATGACGCCTCAGTGTCCCAGTAAGCTACTATGGTGACCTGTGGTAGTGAAAAAGCTCGATAGGAAAGCAAGTGAGGCAGGTGAGTGCAGGAGAATGACACACAGGTGAGCAGGTGGATGTGAGGTCTGGGTATTGTAGTCTGTTTTCACATTAAATACCAAAAACAAAAAGTTCCAATTTTGTTATTTGCCAAATGTCTGTGGATAACCAACCATAAAAAAACTGGAAATGGATTTTTTATTTTGATTTGGCATAAATGGAGAATAAAAACAACATGCTCTGTTTTCATTTTACCACTGTCCATTAACACTGAAAATGAAGTGGAGAGAAGTAAGAAAACCAGCTGTTTTCACAGTACAATGAAGAGTTTTTTGTTTCGGTATTTGATGGGAAAACGAAGTATGCTTCAGTAAATAGCTCCAGGCGACTCCAGTGACTGAAACAGGGAGGAAAGTCAGAGAACATCTGGTCGGGGTTGGGGAGTGGCAGGGGATAGAAAAAGCAAGTTTTGGGTATCGTGATGATTTTTATTCATGTTTAATTCAGTGTCATTCACTTCCCAAAAAAACTTGACTTGACTGCACTGTGTAGCAATTTGGTGGCCTTACATGGGAAGCAATTAAAAGACAGCAACGTAACATAGAGGTGGAGCAAGTACGGCATTGCTGTTGTACAAAAACTCTGTATTATCCTTCATTTATCTGGGGAAACTGAGAGAACAAACCCTTATTTGCAACTTGGCAAAGGACAAAGTCTCTGTTGGTTTAATAAGGTGTTTGAAGACAACCCCGTGCGACTTGATGACCTTTTCTGAATTACATGATAAATATTCAAAATAATTTCTGCTTGTAGCCCTGAAAGTAGAGAATCACACAGTGTGTTTCTGTTGCAGATCATCGCTATTCTGCTGTTAGGACTCACTCTGTTCAGCCATGGACACTTCCACCAAGAGGACGAGGTAACACATGCATATACAATCATTTTTCCATCATATTTAACCAGCAATTTGCGAGCATTGTGAATTTGCCAAATATTAGTGGCAAAACTTATCAAAACTGTACAACCTGCTTTTTTTTTATAAAGGGCAGCAAAATGCAAAGTGTGCATAATTTCATTGGAAGTAATTGGTAAAAACACCGGCGTGACTTCTGAAAGTTACACCATATTACATCTTCTTTTTCTCATTAAAAGCTTTATTCTTTGTTTCCACTCAAAATTTGGCCACTGAACCCGTGTTTTTCGCTGTTCCAGACGTCCCGCTGACCTTATTTTGTCCATTTTCTCTGTAGATAGAGAAAGTGCTCACAACCCTACATGCCATGTATGCCATTGCCGTTATAATTCTGGTCTTGGCCTTCACTGGTGCGTTTGGTGCCTACAAAGAGAAGAAGTGGGCACTCATAGTGGTGGGTAAAGGGAAAAAAATGCACATTTTAATTAGTAGTAGTAGTAGTAAACTCACCTACATTTGTAGAAAAATGTTCCAAATCTGATTTGTATATCTGTGTTTGTGCATCAGTTTACAGTTGGAATGATTATGACCACCCTGTTCATGACTGCGTGTAACATTGCTGGACTGGTTTCGAAACCACACGTAAGCTGACTTTGAAAAGCTTTTGTGTTTTTTTTTGGTGTATGTATATTTTGTGATTCACAAAAAACAAACATATTGTGTTGTTTTGTTGTGTAGTTAGAGAAAGGCATACAGAAGACGTACCTGTCTTTGCTGCCGCTGGCTAATCGTAGTGACAGTGTTACGGAAAGCCTGATGGAAATACAGGGAGAAGTAAGTAACATGTGAGAATGTTCATGGTCAAGTTCAAGTATAAAGAAAACATTTTTCAAGCATTTATTAAAGTGATGACCCAATGAAAACTGTAAACACAGACAGAGTACACGTAATTATCAACCGATAAAGGTTAGTTATGTTATACAGAAAGTATGAAATGTAGAGGATCAAACACAGAAACGCTTGTGTTACTAATAAAATAAACAACTTAAAATCAGCTGTTCGGATTATATCTGAAACCAGAAATGGGAAAAGCAGCAATCTAATCTTCTGATGTTAGATTCAGTGTTTATGAGGACCTTACTTTCCTGAAAACACAAACACACCATCTTGGCACAAGTTCACATGGGTGTGTACGACAGACTTTCAGCGTCATGAACAAGCTACAGTGATTATTAGAAGGAGGTTGGGTCAAGATTTGTTTAGTCGCGACAAGTTCTTGGCATGTGTTCAAACTTTCTCCTCTGACTTCCTTCTCAGTTTCAGTGCTGTGGACTGGATAAGGGTTACCAGGACTGGAACAACCATATCCCAGAATCCTGCCTGTGCGTCGAAGACTCCGTTAATCCATGTGTGAGTGTGAAAGCTTTTCAGTGACTATACCACTGACCTATGGTATTTATTGGTAGAAAAGTCCATAATGTTTCCCCCTTTAAAGAACCTAAAATCTGCAATGCATTAAGAAAAAAAACCTGCATTTCTGCATCCAAGCTGTGACTTAACGTCCCATAGGTAGTCACAAACCTTGTTGCAAAGCTCTTGTAAAGCACTGAAATGCAGTGTGGAGCAGGTAAAGTGTACCGTGGCTCTACAAGCTCCAAAAGAACGGCAAAGACCTGTATTCTCTACATGCATGTCGGAAAATGTATTGTAGATTAGTTGTAGTACCAGTTTGTGCCACCGGGTGGAACATCTTATTGTTTAATATTACCCAAGAAATCTGTCACTCCTACTACGGGCAAGCAAAGAGCATTGTTGGGGTCTAACTAGCAATGGGCCACCATGACAAAGTCTTCTGTGATGCTTCATGTCCTTTGACCAGAGCATATGTATGTCTAATTATCTGCTTGGACAGTTTTTCTACACCCCAGTGGTATATCTAACAGCATAGTTGCATAAATCACGTGTCCATTGACTAAAACAGCAATGTCAGCTTAGGATAAATGTTCACTAGGCTCAGTTTAAATTGTGTTACCAGTTAATCAGATTTATAGTACAGCGGATTGATCAAGAAAATTATTCAAAATTTACATCCATAATGTGCTGCCACAAATTGTACTCCACCTTTATGACACCACAAACGAAGGACTGGGCTGCGCTTCACGCAACAACAAAACTCCTCGATCCCGACCTTTGAGATTGGGTCGGGACATCCCTATCATAGTCCCCAGAGGATGAAACCTCACAACAAGGGTTATTAGATCTGATTTAGATTGATCTCGTATATGCACGTTGTTATTAGCATTTAGCTGCCACGTGAGACCACTCAACCTTAGAGTCCTGTTTTAATCCGCTGGAACATTAGCATCTGTTGTAATGCATTAGTCATTCAGCTAATGGTTCATCTCTAGCATGTGTTGTAGGTGGCGGCTCCACGGGACAGCAGCCTGTTTGAGGACAGGGTGGGTGAAGGGCCCATCATGATTTATGCTGAGGTAATAAAGACATTACTGTATTTATGAGTACATAGTTTAACACTGTGGTAACTGATGCAGCTGTGTATTGATATATACACATGTACACACTATGGAGTACATGAATGACACACTGACAATGCTAAAATAAAAACAATTCTTTCCTAAAGATGTGACATTTTCATTGTATTTGAATAAGAATTTCGCAGTCTTTACAAAGTAAAGGTCAAGAAATACAGCCTCACATTGAAACAGGACAGTCTTTGCATTCATCACAAGCAAAAAGAGTTCTAAGTATTTTGTCTGTTTTCTCTTCCTTGCAGTTTTCCTCTGACATCACACAACAAACCAAATAACTCTGTAGTTTAAAAAGCAGTGGGTTTTTTTTTCCCCCTTTATTTGACCTCTGACCCCACAAAAACAAGCAATACTTGTCTACACATGTCATACTGTACAGTTCAACGTTTTGGAACCATTAGTGGTGTCAACTCCAAAATTCAGAGGAATCTCTCTGAGCTTCGTTACAAATCTGTTTTCACAGTGAACATGCTGTGTGAACAGTTGCACTAACTGATCCACTCTCCTGTTTCAGCCGTGTATTCCATTCATCGTTGAGACTGCTGTGGGCGCCTTGAATGCTGTGCTGGGTATTCTTCTGGGAGTCACATTATTGTGGGTATGTACCAATAATCAGTCCATCTGTGTCTGGCGTGTATGCAGAAGCCTGTCTGTTTGTTTATCTAATGGAACTTCACATTGACTTTTCTGAAGCCGACTTTCACGATACACACTAATGATCCTCATCATGTAAACACCGTTAGCAATTTTATTAATTACCAGTAAACTCAATGTGCTTAACATTAGAAGACTAAATACAGAAATGTAAAACATGAGAGAACAGGAGATGAGTCAAAGCTGTTCTGGTGCCTCAAAACAACTCACACAACATTAGTCAGGTGGTTTTAATCAGCGTGAGTAAAACCTGGACTCCTGGAGCACACACATTAAAACATAAAAGACAGCAATAAAACCTAAAAAAAAAAACATCAACACAGTCAAATACAAACCCCTGCTCAGACACATCATCTCATACCAGGTGTGTCAGAAAAGTTCCAGGACTGGTGTCATAAAAGATGTATTTCAAATCCAAACTACAAACTACCAGTAATCCTCCTGGAGTCTAAGACACTTCCCCAGCCTTCTCTGCCTCCATGCACTCCTGAAAGGATTCTACCAGGATCCTCTGCAGCTCCATCATCACAACCATCTTGATGTCGTCCACATCTTCAAAACGGGTCCCCTTGATGACCCCCTTGAGCTTGGGGAAGAGGAAACAATCCCACAGAGCCAGGTGGGGTGAGTAGGGAGGTTGCTCCAGCACGGAGATGTTCTTCTCAGCCAGGAACTGTGGGATGCTGAGGGCGTTGTGAGCAGGCACGTTGTCATGGTGAAGCAGCCACCACTTGTCCTGCCACAACTCTGCCTCTTCTGAACGAAGCAAACGCAGCAAGATCTCTTTGTAGACGTGCTGTTGATCGTCTGAAGGGGAAAACTCCTAGTTTGGGTTTGAAATATATCTTGTGTGACACCAGTCCTGGAACTTTTCTGACACACCTCGTATGTAATAAGAAAACACGAGAAACATATGACATCAGTGCACACGTTACAACTTAAGGTGCATAAAAATTGTGCAAAATGTTGAAGTGAAATGCAAATGGAACACAAAACTAAAAGTGCAGTAAAGAGACTTTAAAAAAAACTTCCAGACATTATAGCCATTTACTTACTTGCTAGACACTGTTATTTCCAAATAAACAAAACTAAACTCATGTATTTCCTGCTTGTCCATTAAGTCTCCTCACTGCTACATGTGACAATGTCTGTATAAAAAGGACAACCTGTCACCTCATGTTCTTTGGTTTTCCTGCCCTCCTCAGTCTCTTTCTAGAACTGCAGCTCCACTCGAACAGTAACGTCTCTTTCCCTCCGTCCTGCAGGTGTTGTCGGTCGTGTTGTGCGTCGTCATCTTGTGTCGGCTTGATCGGAAAGACGAAATCCCTGCAGTGGTTTACAGTTCGGAGGCGAAAGCGGGCAACTACACCACCCTCACAGAGGAATACACCTGATTTCTTTGCCTTTTTTTTTCGGCTGCATGTCAGCAGATTTAGATAAGTAAAACTTTGGGATCAATGGGATTAACACAAAAGAAATGGATTTAAGATGCTTGAATGTATCGCATCCAACAAGTGAAGCTGCATTAAAAACATGAGGTAGCATTTTTTTTGGCCCTTTGAACCAGCAATTGTGTAAATTCTTTGGTCACACATGAAGAAACATGTAACATTACGCCAGAAACAGACGGAATTCCCTTTAATTGTTATAATCACACACGTTTCATCTTTTAATACAATTTGGACTCTGCAGTGGCACTTTCACCCCGGAGCGGATTTGTAATGCAGCACCTTTTGATCCGAGATGTCAGGAAGTTGAAGCGAATCATTAAAAGATGATGTGGTTTCCAAAGAAAGCACTGATGAAGTTTGTTTGGGAGCTTTAATAAGAACGTCTGTATTTTGTGGTTTTGTAGCTTTTTTCTGTCAAATTTTATGGAAACTTTTTCTTTCTACATTTTTCTAACTTTTACAATGACATTTTTTTATATTTTTAATACTTTCACCATCTAATGGGCCATCACTGCTACACGTTGGTGCTCCGCTTCTGTATTGGTGACGACCGAGATGACGCACCGAATGAAGGCAAATAAAAATATTCTTCTTTGACTCTTGCTCCTCTCATCCATTTATCCAATGTGTAAATGAAAAGAAAGAACATGTAAGGATTAAAATGAGGTAAAAAATTAAGTTATTTTCTCAAACCAGCACATAAAAACATATTTTATAAAACTGAAAAAATGTAGATGAAAGTCCTACATATAGGTTCAAGTACTTGTTCACTTGAAATGTTAAGATGCTACCTACAATAGCTTGCAGTGATGGAAAGAAACTACAGTTTTGAGCTTTTTCTGCTTTTTATTTTTTTTGTTTAATCACAAGTATTTAGAAGTAGTTGGTACATTTCAAGAGGAAATTTAACTTTTATAATAGATTTGTTTATGTAGACAATAGAAAAATTAAATAGGAATAAATTAGAAAAGGAATTCTATTTATCCAATACCTGTAATTACCTGTAATTTAATCAGTTTTACCAGCTCACCTTTCAAGTCTGTTCGTTTTTCTTGTGTGTGTTTTTATATTTTGAGTGTTTGCCTGTACTTTTCATACATGCTGTTTTTTTCTTTATGTAAAAGAACTTTGCGAATTGTGTTCTTAAAAAGTGCTATACAAATAAAGTTTATTATTATTATTATTATTACTTTTTAGGTTCAGATTTCCCATAAAAAATGCATCTTCAGTACACTGCTAAAGTTTAAACCAGTGACCTTTTGACCCTGTAAAACTAAACAATCATCTGAATGGAGCCTCTTCTCTTGTCTCAAGTGTTCATGTGTATCTGTTGTGAGCACAAATCAGAAAATCGGAATCAGTTTTATTACCCGGTACATTTTCACATACGAGGGATTTGTTTGTGGGCTGGAAGGTGGAGCGGTGGTTAGCACTGTGGCCTCGCAGCAAGAAGGTCGCTGGTTCGCGTCCTGGTGAAGACACCGGGATCTTGGAGTTGCATGTTCTCCCCGTGCTTGGTTGTCTGTCTCTAAGTGTGGCCCTGTGATAGACTAATGACCTGTCCAGGGTGTCTCCTGCCTTCACCCTGAGTCAGCTGGGATAGACTCCAGCCCCCCGTGGCCCTAGTGAGGATTAAGCGGTGTATAGATAATGGATGGATGGATGGATATTTTACAGGATCCTTGTTGCTGAGAGATGTGAGAGCAGCACTTCAATGGTAAAGTTGATCAACATGGAGTTAATTTTAAGGATTTGGTAGTT